ACTTGAGACTGGGTAATTTATAAAGAACAGAATTTTATGTTCTCACCGTTCTGGTGGCTGGAAAGTCCAAGATCAAGGTGCTGGCAGGTTCACTTGTCTGTTTCGGAGAAGAGGAACACGGTGTCTTCAAATGGTCAAAGAGTGGAAAAACCAGCTAGCTGAAGTTGCAGGAAGCCTTAATCCCATTCAGGAGGGAGGAACCCTCCTGACCTAATCACCCCTTAAAGGCCTCACCCCTTAATACTCTCACATTGGTAACACTTGAATTTTGGGGGGGACTCATTCAAATCATAACTCCCTGTAACAATGAACACACCTAATTAAGTTCTCTATATTTCAGTATGGACTGTATATTATATGTGGACTGTAGTTACATAGTAACTTTAATGTTCATACTGATTTGCTTAGCTATATTGTAGTTAAGCAAATATTTTTGTTCCTAGGAGAATAGACAAAAACATTTAGGACTAAAATGGTATATAGTGTTTGCAGGTTACTCTCATATGATTAAGAAAAAAAAAATGTATGAGATAGGCCTGGTGTGGGCTCACACCTGTAATCCTAGCACTTTGGGAGTCCGAGGTGGGAGCCCAGGAGTTCAAGACCAGCCTGGGAAACATAGTGAGACCCCATCTCAAGAAAAAATGAACGAGAAAGAGAATGAATGATAAAGCAAATTGGATGAAATGTAAATAATTGATAATCTTTGCAGATTTTCTTTAAATTTGAAATTATATAAAGTTAAAAATTTACCTAAAACCTTTTCATATATCTTAGTTGTAATCAAACCAACCTGACTTTATAGAATTCACAGAAGTGACAAAAAATTATTTAGAGAAAATAAAGTAGCAAAGGAAATGCTGATCATGCAGGAAAATTCCAAATTGTTGACATACAGAGAAGAACCTGATTTTTTTGTTATTCTGTCATTGCATAGTAACCTCGAGCACCTCATGTTCTGTATTCATTTGCTTTAAATATTTTTAAAATAGCTAGTTCAAGGATTTCCTAAACACTTCCTATTTAGTAAGTTTTCTTACAAAGGGGCACTTTGTAAAAATTAGATGGCCTTTGTTCTAACACCCTTTTATATTGGTGTTAATCCATTAATCCTACTCATGTGGGCAGAACCCTCATGGTCTAATTATTTCTTAATGGTGCCACTCTCCAGTACCATTATAATAACAATTAGATTTCACTTAGTTTTCGGAAGAAAGAAACATTCAAATCATAGCAAACTGTAAGCACACGAGTATGGATGAATTTCATGGACATAATATTGAGTGAAAGAAACCAAACACAAGAGTAATATTGTATGATTCTTTTAAATAAAATTCAATATAGGCAAAACACATCTGTGATGTTAGAAGTTAATTAAGATCTTTCCCCTATCTTTGGTAGGGAAACAGGAAGTGACTGGAAGCAGGAACATAGAGGGGTTTCTAGGGTGCTACTAATGTTCTGTTTTTGCTTTGGATTCCAATTACCTGTTTCTTTTTTTTTGTTTTTGGCCGTGTTTTGCTCTTGTTGCCCAGGCTGGAGTGCAATGACATGATCTTGGGTCACCACAACCTCCACCTCCTGGATTCAAGCGATTCTCCTGCCTCAGCCTCTCCAATAGCTGGGATTACAGCCATGCATCACTATGTCTGGCTAATTTTGTATTTTTAGTAGAGATGGGGTTTCTCCATGTTGGTCAGGCTGGTCTCAAACTCCTGACCTCAGATGATCCACCCGCCTTGGCCTCTCAAAGTGCTGGGATTACAGGCATCTGGCTTGTGTGTTTCTTTGTGAAAAGTAATTGAGCTCTACACTTTGTATGCTTCTTTCTACATATGTTATACTTTAATAAACTTTTTAAAAAGAATTTTGTATCTTATGTAAATCTGTTACTAAAGACACTTTTTAAAGTGTCTTTTTCATAAAATGCATTTGATAAGTTTCTCTTTTGGAGGTGGGAAGAGATGTGGACAGAAAATTAGGCTTCCTTTGATTAGTCAACTCTGTGTAACTCATTTCACATCCCTTTGTGTCTTACTACCTTAATTCTTAGAGGTAATTTTTGTGTCCAGTTACACTTTTTCACTTTATAAAGTATTAATAATTGAATGAATGGTCTATTATTTCAAATCTGTAATTAAAATTCTTTTTTTTAAATTTCTTAGTGTAAAATTTTGTTTTTGTTTTTGTTTTTGTTTTTTTGAGACGGAGTTTCGCTCTTGTTACCCAGGCTGGAGTGCAATGGCATGATCTCAGCTCACTGCAACCTCCACCTCCTGGGTTCAGGCAATTCTCCTGCCTCAGCCTCCCGAGCAGCTGGGACTACAGGCACGCGCCACCATGCCCAGCTAATTTTTTGTATTTTTAGTAGAGACGGGGTTTCACCATGTTGACCAGGATGGTCTCGATCTCTTGACCTCATGATCCACCTGCCTCGGCCTCCCAAAGTGCTGGGATTACAGGCGTGAGCCACCGCGCCTGGCCTAAAATTCTTTTATTTATTTACTGAGACAGAGTTTCACTCTTGTTGCCTAGAGGGAGTACAGTGGTACAATCTCAGCTCACTGCAACCTCTGCTTCCTGGATTCAAGCGATTCTCCTGCCTCAGCCTCCTGGGTGGCTGGGTTTACAGGCATGCACCACCACGCCTGGCTAATTTTTTATTTTTAGTAGACAGGGGGTTTCTCCATGTTGGTCAGGCTGGTTTTGAGCTCCTGACCTCAGGTGATCCACCCGCCTTTGCCTCCCAAAGTGCTGGGATTACAGCCATGAGCCACCGCACTGGGGTTGTTAGTGTAAAATTCTAAGTACAGTATTTGAAAGTAAATTGCAGTTGAAGATATGGTTATTATTGTCAAAAACCTTCTTGAAAATGTTCTAGGGCTGGGTATAGTGGCTCATGCCTGTAGTCCCAGCACTTTGGGAGTCCCAGGCGGGTGAATCATGAGGTCAGGAGTTTGAGACCAGCCTGGCCAACATGGTGAAACCCTGTCTCTACTAAAAATACAAAAAACTAGCTGGGCTTGGGGGCGAGCGCCTGTAATCCCAGCTACTCAGGAGGCTGAAGCAGGAGACTTGCTTGAACCCAGGAGGCGGAGGTTGCAGTGAGCCAAGATCACACCACTGCACTCCAGCCTGGATGGTAGTGTGAGACTCCATCTCCTAAAAGAAAAGAGAAAAAGATTCTATTGATTTATTTAGTACGTTTTTATTATCTACCTTCCATTTTAGTGGCAACTGAGAGGCAATATACACTTTTTTTTTATTTTATTTTTCTTTTGGCAATATGCACTTCTATACTAACAGAAGGAATACTTTTTAGTTTAAGTTGTTTTTATATTCAGAAGTTGGGGTTGTTGGAATTCCACTTTTCAAATGCTGCAATTTCTATGAAGTCTTTTCTCGTTTCCTCTCTCCAGGTTAGTGATCTCAACCTCCTCTTAAGGTATGTTGTGATTTGTGCCTTTCTTAAAGCATTTGCAGTATTTTGTCATATAGACTTTTTATATTCCTTTTTCTTGATTATGAGAACCTAGAGTTTACAGATTATGTTGGTGGTTTTCTGAACTCCTGTTAATACTGAGTATAGTGACGACTGCATCACACACAGTAGGTTCTCTGTAAATAGTTTATCTGATTGCCATGTTTCTAACCTTGAATACCATTTCATAGTTTAATTTTGCTTGTGTAATTTTCTTTGTAAATCAAATCTTTAGTATATAGCTGTATAGCTGAATAGATACTCTGTGACCACTTTCCATTTTTGAAAACCAAATCTCAGTTCTATAGCTGTCATTCTATAATATTTACCTCTTAGCAGTCACATATTTTCTTTGGGGACAGAAGTAAATATGCAAAACAAATTCCAAGCCAAGTTTTTAGTTGTCGTTGTTGTTTTTTAACACTTTGCAGAAACTACTGTTTGCTACAAGAAAATAAATGGAATTTTTTGTTTATGTTCATGTGAAAATGGAAATAAATATAGGACTGTGGGATTAAACATGGAGATACTCTAGAGTGTTTTGAAGTTTCCCTCATATTCAAGTGACCTCTGGGGTTCATTTTCCCTACAACTTTGGCAATATGTCTTTCTTTTTTCTGTTTATCTCTTGTAAATATTCCTTCCTATCAGTACCACACGAATCGATTCTTTTTTTTTTTTTTTTCCTGGCTTTTTTCATTCAAGATGATTATTTTGAGATTCGTCCATGGTGTTTTTTGAGACAGGGTCTCATTCTGTTGTCCAGGCTGGAGTGCAATGGCATGATCACAGCTTGCTGCAGCCTCGACCTCCCAGGCTCAAGCTGTCCTCCTGCCTCAGCCTCCGGAGTAGCTGGGACCACAGGTGCATGTCACCATATCTGGCTAATTTTTAAATTTTTTTGTGGAGGTGAGGTCTCCCTATGTTGCTCAGCCTGGTCCTGAACTCCTGGGGTCAAGTGATTATCCTGCTGCAGCCTCCCAAAGTGCTGGGATTACAGACATCAGCCACTGTGCCTGGCCCAAATTGATCCTTCTTGACACAGCTCTTCCTGTTTTGGGCCCCTTGAATTGAATACTAATTACCAGTTTTACTAGAGATATGTGTAAGATGGGATTTGTGGGAGCTGCTCTCAATAAATAACAATATCCTATCTATTTGTCTTATTTTATATATATATATATATATAGAGAGAGAGAGAGAGAGAGAGAGAGTATTTTATTTCAAAGATCCAGTAATTTATAGATATTTGACTTTTATGTAGGGGAATTATTTGTCATATATTAGAGATTATGGTCCTACATTAGTGTGTGGATCTTACAGTTGCTGGAGTAACTTGCAGTGATCATCTTTGTTATATCATCATAATAAAGTCTTTGTTTTATGGGGAAAATTGGGATCTCCTTCTCTTTATTTTGTGTATATGTGTTTTGTTTGCAGTTACTATATTAGTGTAATGCAGCAATAATTATGTTACTAACAACAACTTTGTGAGATGTTTATTATTCTCATTTTACAGATGAGGAAACTGAGGCTTGTTGAAGTTACGAAACTTGTCCAAAATCACACAACTTGTAAAGGGCACAGCCAAGATTCAGAGCCAGGTCTGTCCAACTTCAAAACTCTTAATCATAACCATGAATCCAAAATAGCTGTGAAGTATCAACCTGTGATAAGTTGTATTAGTATTAATATTGCTTAACTGTTTTTTAACTCTTACTTATAATATTTTTAATGCTGAGTGTTTTTGTCCTTTATAATAATTTCACATATCTTTTCAATATTGTGAAAAGCAGTATGAATGGTAATTAAAGGTCTAGTCTCTGGAGACAGACTACTTGGGTATGAACCCTTAAACCGCTTCATTTACTTGTTGTGTGACATTGAGAAAGTTACTTAACTTTTCCATACTTCAGTTTTTCTATCTGTAAAATGGTGATGGTAATATTATCCACCTGATAAGTTTGTAAATATTGAATGATTTAATATATACAAAGCATTTACAACAATGCCTGGCACACAGTTAGCATTCGGTGAATGTCAGTGATTAGTATTGTCATCTCCTAGCAACCAGTGAAGCAAATTATCATCATATCTAATTTTGTGTTAGGAAATTTAGATAAAGCAATGTTTAGGCAGCAATGTAGGATATGACAAAACTTACATAAACCAAAATTAAATTTGAATAAGTTAGATCTAAAGAATGTCATTCATTTGATCAAATTTAGGTCTATTGTAAAGCAACTTGGGAAACTGCTTATAGATCTCACATGTACAAGAGCCTTACATATATAAGGTTTATACATAGGTCCACTACAAGTACCCATTGAGCCTAACATGGTCATTGCATTACGAATGTATTTTGTCTGTCTTCTCCCTCAGAATGCAATTTGTCTTTAGAATAAATGTCCACATTTTCAGGTAGCTTTTAAGGAGATGGTGTTTTGGCAGTCTTGATAGAAGAATACCAAGAACCAAAACCTCATATATTACATAAAATGTTGGCAACATTGCATCACTTGCAGGAGTGCTTATTAGAACTTTTACTATGGTGAATGTGTATTCTGAATGACTTTTGAACCAGTGGAACCACAGCACATTCAGCTAGAATTCAGCCATGTACTGATCATGTATTCTTTTCTCATACTTGTTTATCGTAGCTATCAGAATCCCAAAGTCCTGTTCACCATGTTGGTCAGTCTCGATCTCCTGACCTCCTGATCCTCCCACCTTGGCCTCCCAAAGTGCTGGCATTACAGGTGTGAGCCACCTCACCTGGCCCTGATTATTTACTAATAATAAGTTTATATCTCTTGCATAACTATCCATGAATGGGAGATAATTTGAGTAAAATTACACAATAATTCAAAAGCTATTATTTAAAGAATGGGACCTGCTTTGTATATGAACCCCAGAACTCTGTAGCTTTATTTTTTTTTTAATTGTTAAATTTTTTCTTATAAAAACAGAGTCTTGCTATGTTGCCCAAGCTGGTCTGAAACTCTGGGGCTCAAGCAGTCCTTCTACCTCAGCTTCTGAAAGTGCTAGTATTACAGGCATGCACCACCATGCCCAGCTTATAGCTTTTATTCTACACATACATTTAATTTCTTTCTTTCTTTTATGGTATTGAGATTTAACTATCCTCGATCAAAGTATCTTTTTGGTTATTTAGAGATTTAAAATATTTTTCAGTAAATTATTTTCTCTTTTTTCCATGAAGAAAAATAAGATGGCCAGGCATGATGGCTCATGCCTGTAATCCCAACACTTTGGGAGGCTGAGACAGGCAGATCCCTTGAGGCCAGGCGTTCAAGACCAGCCTAGCCAACATGGCAAAACCCTGGCTCTACTGAAAATACAAAAATTAGCCAGGTTTGGTGACACATGCCTGTAATCCCAGCTGCTTGGCAAGCTGAGGCACGAGAATTGCTTGAACCTGGAAGGTGGAGGTTGCAGTGAGCTGAGATTGCATCGCTGCACTCCAGCCTGGGCAACACAGTGAAACTGTCTTAAAAAAAGAAAAAGTAACAGACCTTATTTCTGGTTTCTATTGTAAATGGCATATTTTTCTTCTTGTTTTCTTCCCATTTCTGTTTTGTTTCTTTCCTGTGCTTTATTACTTTCTCTTGCCTTAACTATTTAGTACAGTATTCAGTGCAAGTGTTAATAGTAGGCATTCCTTTGCTTGACCCCAGAAATTTGAGATCAGCCTGGGCAACATAGCAAGATCCCATCTCTACAAAAAAATTAAAAACTAGCTAGGTGTGGTGGTACATAACCTGTAGTCCCAGCTACTCAGAAGGCTGAAGTGGAAGGATTGCGTAACCCCAGGAGGTTGAGACTGCACTGAGCCACGATCGTGCCACAGCACTGTAGCCTGGACAACAGAACAAGACCCTGTCTAAAAAAAATAGTGGCCATTCTTATGTTGTACTTAATTTTTTAGAGGAAGTGTTTGTTTCGCTATTAAGACTAAGGTTTTCTGTCTGTGTGTGTGTGTGTGTGTGTGTGTGTGTGTGTATTAATTTTCATTTATTTTGAGACAGGGTCTCACCCTGTCACCCAGGCTGGAGTGCAGTGGTACAGTCTCAACTCACTGCAGCCTCAGCCTCCTAGGCTCAAGTGATTTTCCCACCTCAGCTTCCCAAGTAGCTGGCACTGCAGGTGGGCACTGCCATGCCTGGCTAATGTTTGTCGTTTTAGCAGAAATGGGGTTTCACCTTGTTGGCCAGGCTGGCCTCAGACTCCTTACCTCAGGTGATCCGCCCACCTCAGCCTCCCAAAGTTTTGGAATTTCAGGCTTAAGCCACTGTGCCCGGCCTCCTATATATTTTTGATAGAAACTTTTCCTAGCTTAAAAGCATTTCTTTTCCTAGTAGGCTAAGATTTTTGTGTGTGTGAAGAATGAGCATTGAATTTTATCAAATGTGTTTTCTGCATTTACAAAATGATCACATAGTTTTCCTCCTTTATTTTGTTAATGTGGTGTTGACATTTATAATGTAGAATTACTGAAATAAACCCAACTCTGTCATTATGGACTTTTTAGAAAAAAATAAATAGTTGGATTTAGTTTATTAATTTTGTTTTGTTAAGAGATGGGATCTTGTTCTGTCACTCAGTCTGGAGTGCGGTGGTGTGATCATAACTCACTGTAGCCTCGAACTCCTGAGCTCAAGTGTTCATCTCACATCTGCCTTCTGAACAGCTGGTACTACAAGGGTGCACCATCATGCCTGGCTATTTTTAACATTTTTTGTAGAGATGCAGTCTTGCTATGTTGCCCAGGCTGGTCTCAAACTCCTGGGCTTAAGCAATCCTCCCGCCTAAGCTCCCCAAAGTGCTGGGATTACAAGCATGAGACTGTGTATGATTTTTGCATCTATGTTCGTCCACAGATGAAATTGGCCCATAATTTTAATTTCTTGTCCTTGTTTGGTTTTGGTATCTAGATTATGCCAGCCTAATAATGAGTTAGAAATTATTTTCCCCCAGAAAAGATTTATTTAGGACTGGAATGACCTTTTTTTCTTTTTTTTTAAAGTTTGGTTGAACTCCTGTTTAACTCTGTATGCATGGTATTTTGGGGGATGATGGGCTTAATATTTTGCTGGGGAGGTATGTATTCAGTATTCTAAATGGTTTCGTTTAGGATTGTGTTTCTAGTTAGATCAGTTTTTAGAGAGTGTCTTTAGGAATGCATTAGTTTTGTCTAGAGTTTTTGTTGTTTTTTTGTTGTTGTTTGGAGCAAGGTTTTACTCTGTTGCCCAGGCTGGAATGCAATGGCGTGATCTCGACTCACTGCAGCCTCCACCTCCCAGGCTCAAGTGATTGTCTGTATCAGCCTCCTGAGTAGCTGGGACTACAGGCGCAGGCCATTGTGCCCAACTAATTTTTTGTATTTTTCGTAGAGATGGGGTTTTGCCATGTTGGCCAGGCTGGTCTCGAACTCCTGACCTCAGGTGATCCACTTGCCTTAGCCTCCCAAAGTGCTGGAATTATAGGCATGAGCCACTGTGCCTGGCTTTATTTATTTAAAATTTTACTTTGTTTCTTTCTTTTTTGAGATGGAGTTTCACCTTGTTGCCCAGGCTGGAGTGCAATGGCGTGATCTCGACTCACCGCAACCTCCCCACCTTGGGTTCAAGTGATTCTCCTGCCTCAGCCTCTGGAGTAGCTGGGATTACAGGCCAGTGCAACCATGGCCGGCTAATTTTGTATTTTTAGTAGAGATGGGGTTTCTCCTTGTGGGTCAGGCTGGTCTCAAACTTCCGACCTCAGGTGGTCCGCCCACCTCAGCCTCCCAAAGTGCTGGGATTACTGGCATGAGCCGTGATGCCCAGCCTAAATTTTTCTTTTTTTTTTTCCCTCCTGAGATGGAGTTTTGCTTTTGTTGACCAGGCTGGCATGTAGTGGCGTGATCTCGGCTCACTGCAACCTCTGCCTCCTGGGTTCAAATGATTCTCCTGCCCCAGCCTCCCGAGTAGCTAAGATTACAGGCATGCGCCACCATGCCCAGCTAAGTTTTTTCTATTTTCAATAGAGACAGGGTTGCTCCATGTTGGTCAGGCTGATCTCAAACTCCTGACCTCATGATTCACCCGCCTGGGCCTCCCAAAGTGCTGGGATTACAGGCATGAGCCATTGCACCCGGCCAGTTTTTCTTTTCTTAATAGAGAGAGGGTCTCACTATATTGCTTAGGCTGGTTTCGATCTCCTAGACTCAAGCGACCCTCCTGCCTCAGCCTACCAAAGTGCTAGGATTATAGGCATGAGCCACTGCACCTAGCCCGTGAGCAGTCTTTCCAATGGCCTTTTCTCCACCTTTTGATAATATTTAATATTTTGCTGGGGTGGTATGTATTCAGTATTCTAAATAGTTTTTGATAAGAAATTTTAATGAATAACCAATATTTCATATTATTGAGACTTGCTGAGGTTCTTGGAAGACTGATTTTCTACTAATGATAGAGTGATAGGCCAGGTGCAATGGATTACACCTGTAATCCCAGCACTTTGGGAGGCCGAGGCATGTGGGTCACTTGAGCCCATGAGTTCAAAACCAGCCTGGGTAATGTGTGGCAAAACTCCATCTCTATAA